ATAGATTTAAACGATCGGCTTGTTAATGTAATTACTTTTTGAGCAATTTCATATCCACATTTATGCACAATTAGTGGAATATCACAATGTAGCGAGCAGACAACATATCTTTAATATATTACCAAATTATTACTGTCCATTTTTATTACTGTACTAATATAGCAGTTTGTAGAAATAATTATTTTGTGCAAAATTTTAAATAATAATTTTTATAATTCTTGTGATTATTTCATGATTTCTACAAAAATTATATCTATAGCTGCAAAATTTATAAATGAATTTTGTAAAGTATTTCAAACATCTGCTAATTATGGTTATAATCCCACTTCTAAACCAACTATGTACTTGCTGACTTCGGTATCTGATCAATGTATAACGTTGTATTATAATATTTTGTAAGCCTTGCTTTAAAAATTGTGCTTTAATTGTTATAACTAGCAGATATGCTGTTGTAGTGACCTTTTTTGCGTAAAGAGAGGTCAAATTTCTTGCAGTAGTAGAATTTAGACGTGTTCTACTCCTTAAAAATCTTATAATCTCCAGTCTCATTTATCTACCAATCAATTCAGTATTGAAGTACAAATCATCAATTGAATAGCAAATAAAACAAGTTAATCACTAGAACAGCAGATCAAATCTCTTTCTAATCAATCAATAATATGATAAATAAACTTACTCGCATGATTCGTTCAGGTAATTTTCTAGCATACTCACATCACTATTTAAAATAAAGTGTCGAAAGTTGCGTATAATAGAATGTAAAGCATTCTGATGAGATGTGCAGGTTTTCATGCAAATTTGCCTAATCTGTGGGTCAAGCCGAGCAAGACATCCAAAATGTTCTTTAATATCTGAAATTATACTGTCATTGGGCAGGGTTTCTAGAAATATTGCTTAAAAATTTGTCGAAAATAATAATTCTTGTAAGTATTATTTGTAACTGAGAGTGATAATTTAAATTTTTGTGAGTTAAAAAATTAATGCTAAATATTGTAGATTAGTTATTAAATTTATGTGATAATAAAGATTAATTCAATTATAATTCGAAAGTTGGATTAATTTTAGAGCAAACAAACTGAATTGAATAAATAGTTTTCTTAATTGAGATATTGCATTTAACCATTATTTTTATCATACCATTGAAATTGTGAACACAAATATGATTAATTATTTCTGAACATCCCATCATAATTTCACGAGAATAACTTAGTGTACACGTTGAACAGCAATATTCAAATTTATGAAATTCCCTTAAATTATAAATCTGTAATCAATAAAAACTTTTTGTAATGAAAAATTTGTTACAAATTTGCATATTTATAGATCGAAAAGAATGATTTGGAAATTGATTAATTCACGATGAATGAATTTATAAATTTTAACTGAATTCTGAATCAAATAATTTAATTGCACAAATAAATATTTAACCTCACTAGAAAGTACGATCGATGTATTATAAGGGATATACTGTAATTTTTTTTCAGTTTCTCAACGTTTTGCATAGATCATGTACGATTCCATAAATTCGAGAAGTAAGTGAAATTATTTTTAACAGATATTTTCGATGATATAAGCAAAAATTATTCGAAAAATGAAACGATTTTGTCATTTTGGTCAAAAAAAAGTGGGTCAAAAGGTCAAAGTAAAAGAAAAGTCCGTCCATCAGAATTGTTGCAAAGACAAACTGACCATTTTATTTGACAATGAGGAAATCAAAGTTAAGTATATGCAACCAAGGCAGTTAACTTTAAAGCTAAAGTTTCTGGGTTAATTTCGATCTATCAAATCATTAATTTCATTGGAATTCACATTCGAACTACGAATGCCACAGTTAAGATCAAATAACTGATCTGATTCAGAAAATTATATAGTGCTATCTTTGACCTGTTTTATTCAAAAATGAAAGGACTGAATATTTGTATAATCAATAAAAACTTGAACTTGATGATCTCAGATCAGTCAACGATTAATCCCATAAAGTTTCAAAATTATTTTGCATTGATCTATGATTTTATGAATTTGATAAAAGCTAACTGGCAGAAATGCCGAAGAAGAGTTGCATTTGACATTGAAAATAAAAAATTATTAAAATTAAGTTCAAGCAAATTTAGTGTTTCGTTCTTTCCAGTGCTTGCAATCAGATCATTCATTAGCTGTACTGCACAATGACCCGAGCATGTCACCCCTTCATTGTCCATATATGATCTGTATAATTACAATTGTCACTTCAAAATATAAATAATATATAGCAACAATTAACAATAACAATAATATAATTTTTAATGAAAATTCGTTAAAATTTAGTAATATTAATTTTTTGAATCATATTTGCTCAAATAGATTTAAATTATCAGAGGAAAACAATCACTTAGCATCATATTTTACATTATTTCTGTTTGAACTTTAACCTTATCGAAAGCACTGCTGGAAGAGAGCTTGAATTTTGACTTGAAACATTTATTGGGTACTGTATGAATAACTTAATAATAGTAATTGACAACGCTAAGAATATCATCTGAAATCCTTTTTATTAAAATTAATGTGGGTAATTTAGTAAGCATAAGTCAAAATTTACTAATAAAAATGAGAATTATCTTTTTTAATTCACAATGTCTTTTCAAATTATTTATATTAATGATATTAATAATATATTCATTACAATTTAACAATGATAATTCTCTAGCAAATAGCGTTAATAACGATAAAGCACAAGACAAAAGTTGTTATCACGTAATTGTAATTAATTAAGCATAACCTAAAGTTGATAATAACTTTGATATGCTAGACTTGTTGCATTACGATCTTAGTATCATAATAATACTTATTCATCGAAAATAAGGACCAAAGTTTATGTAAGTTATTTTCAGCTTGGCATTAAATTAAATGTTATTATTAAAAAAATTATCACAAATTATTACAGTAAATGTCTGATGATAATGTAGCAACGAATAAAACTTATTACTATGAGAAAAAATGAACAAATATTAACAATTTGAATTTGAGAGGTGTTTTTGATAGAGCTGAATTTTGTAGTAGTAATTTGTATAAATGACTGAATCAGAAAAGGAAAGCAAGAAAACTGTGAATGGGAAGTGAAGATTTGTTAAGTGACCAATTTGAATTGGAAATGATATATGTAAAAATTTTCACACATAATAATAATACTAATAATAATAATTTGTACACTAAATGTAATAATAACAATGATAATAATAACAATAGTAATAATAATGATAATAATAGTAGATGTAAGAAAATAAAATATGTTATCAATGACGCGTGAAATTGTTTTCAGAAAAACAAATTTCAAAATAAATTTATGATAAAAACGAGTCAAGAAGAAAGGAATGCATACATATAAATGAAAATTATGCGATTTAGTTTCACGATGAATCCTCTCATGAAACACTTTATAATCAAGTTTTCCGCTTGTTTCACGTCGTTATGCTTCTGATAACAATAATGTATCGCATTAGTAACTTGATCTATCCATCCATTCAATTATTACTCAAATTTATAACGGCAAATTTGCATTGGTAACTTACTCTTATTCATACAGTAATGTAAAGTGTCAAAAGTAATTGCTTTCCGACATTTTTACAATCTTCGCTGTTGATAAAATTGTCTTTTTTGAAAAAAAATCAAACCTGACTTCAGTACTACTACATATTACAAATGATAACTGACTTTATCCACACTGAGAGTTTTATTTATCACTACTATTCAAGTGTAATATTCGCTTGAAAAGTGGATGTAATTTCGATGATATTTATTACTTATCAATAGTTGCTCAATTTAAACAACAGTAAAGTATTAATAAAAGTAATAACAATGATAATGGTAGAATAAATAATAAAGCTAAATGAATATGAGTTGAAAAAACTAGGTCTCTTCTTAATAACTGTCAATATATGCATAACACTGAAATAATCCAAACTGAATTCATTATTGTTATTACTATTATTGTCAATATTCGAACGTGAAACTTAACTGGAGAAGAGAGATGTACTGTACAACATACAATCCACATGGAATGCTTATGTTAGCCATGATCTAAGATTAATGATCAGTAAGTAATTTACTTAGTATATTTTTCAGTGCAGAAAAATATTCAAATTTTGAACTAAATATTTTAACGGTCTACTTCGGAATTTACATGATAAGCTCAAAATGTTGCTTCTATCTCAAAATCTAAACAAAAAATGAAAATAATCGTAATTATGTTAAATTTATAAAAATAGATAGAAAAACAGATAATCTGAGATGTTCATAATTACGTTTGTCGCAATTACGTAAAAAATAATTCAAAATATAATAAAAAACACAATAACTATGAAAAGATAAATGTAACAAACAATAAAATACAACGAAAATGATCAGAAATACGTGAAAACATTAGAGAAGCAATTTAGAAAAAAGATAACACAAAGTATTATCAAGGTGCAATTGGTACAAAATGATATATCAATATTTGTAGCTGCGAGCAGTGACTTTTGTTATGTAATAAAATATAGAAGAAACGCTAAAAATGAATTTCAATTTAAGATTACTTAAATATTATAAGTTTGATTATCAGATACCTTATCCATCTTACCACTTCTAGTCTGTTTACTAAATACGCAGTGAATTTCTCTTTAAGTAAAGAAAATACTTGAATTCATCACTAGTTTACACCATTTTGTTGCATTTTATTACGATGAAAATCGCAAAGGAAATCTCCTTTGATAGCGTAACAAGTACAATTATCTATGCAAATCTAGTTCGGTATTACTTTCCACTAATTCTTCTCTCCTTTCATGATTCATAAAATATTTAATTACCATAAACTGCAAAACCTGTAAGTGAAATTTTCACTTATTACTCTTTTGAGACAATAATGCGCATTCATCACATCTTAGTTCGCCTAACTCCAACTGCATCAATTCTAGCAAAATCCCATGCAAAATTTGTAAAACGCTCTGATCTTAACAATTCTACATTCGAAACGGAACATTCCCCAATATTCCTACTAGAAGAAAAACAAGCCATTCGCAAATTTTATTGCGACTGAATATGCTTTGCTTCGATCGAAAACGCTTTTTTATCAAATTGAAAACCTAAACACTATTTACAACATCATCACCTCTGTAGCATGCTAATGTCACAGAGATGGAAAAACAAGCAGACATATTAAAGGATCATTATTTTCTCAATCAAAAATCAGGAACTAATTAATTTACTCAGAAGAGGTGTACTCTGTAGCTGTTCAATAATGCATCAACTGAACAGTATTCCTTTCCTAAACACTTTTTAGTGCGTCAATTTTTGAATTTTATCAATCGTTTGTTCCGTGACTTTGTTGCTGCCGGACTTTTCGTCACTATTTATCGACTTCACGACTATACCATACCTAAATATGCATAAATTAGTTATGCGCTAAACATTGGAATGGAAAAGAAAGTCTTAAAATTGAAACATTTTTTTAACCATGTTCAATATTCATGGATTTAACAGTTTCTTTTCGCTTTTAATATTAGAGGTTTAAAAAAAAATCATTTATATACATACCTATCTAATTCTGAAGTTGTAGGCTCAACAGGAGAACCGGTCATCAGGTCTTTACCTTCTTTACTTTTCGGAAATGCGATAACTTCTCGGATCGACAAACTTGAATCTCCTCGTCCGACCAAAAGAGCAATATATCGATCAAGACCTAATGCAAAACCACCATGTGGTGGAGCCCCATAAGATAACGCTTTTAGCATATGCTCCTGATGATGAATATATAAAAGTAGTTAAATGTGAAAAAAAACAGAATGAACACAAAAGATTGGCTTGTTATAAATGAATGATTTTTCTAGCTAGCAACTGGTGCAACTAACACTAGAGGTAGAGTAAAAAGTTATTATACAGGATAAGAATTTCGCTGTTATGAGAAAAACCCGTCAACTTTATCAACTTAAACATTCAAAACACATTATAAGTAAGTAATTTTGCCTAACAAGTTCGTTTGATGATTCATGAAGAATCGTTGACAATACATGCCGTTGAATATCGCCATTATGAATGCGAATCGAGCCTCCACCCAATTCAACACCATTCATCACCAAGTCATAATGCTGAGCTGCAAAAATTTATTTTCGCTGAAAACAGAGGCAATCACAAATGAATAAAGTAAGATTTTTTACTTTATCATTAATATTGAGGTCAGAATTGTCCCTACAAAGCTAGACTTAAAAACGACAATACAGAGAATCTTAAACGCTGAAACGCCAGTAGAATTATGTGTAAAAATAGTACCGGTAATTGTAAGAAGCTTATTTGGACTATACAGCAATGGCAGGTCATCTGGTACAGGTGCAGTAAAAGGATGATGAGCACTTCTTAAACGACCATCTGAACTAATAACAAACAAAGGAAAATGTGTTATCCAAACAAATTCTATGCGTTGCTCAGCTCGTATATTCATTGCTTCACCAACTAAATGTCGCAACTGACCAAGTGTCCATTTCACACCCGCATCATCGCCCCACATAAAGAAAATTATATAGTCTCAAATTAATCTTTTTCAATAGATACACAATTATTTTTACAGCAGCTTTCTTTTTATGTAAAAAGCAATAACCCACGCTACACATAAAATAATTTACAATCAATATACGCGAGAAAAAAAAACAGAATTGTACTAACACTTTACTATCAAACGTCATTTAAAAGAAGTAACTATAAGTATAATACTGAGGTAGGAAGTTTTTTTCTAAGTGATGAAAACTTACGACACTATAACAGCATCTTCGTTCATAACTCCAAACTTCTGTATTATCACGTCATTTGAGATTTTTTCAAACCATTTATTTTCAGACATCGTAAAGCACTTAAAAATCTGAAATTTCATTTTTGAAAAGGTTTCCGTGCAATAATTAATGTAACGGATTAAATGAAAAGCTTGTGCAATAGATAAAATTTGATTTTTTGACAGAAAGAACTTCAAAAGATACTATTAAGTAAAGGACTTCTTCCGAGCATTAGAATTTTCGTCCAATAAATTAGTCATTATACAAACCCGAGACTTCGTATTGTTATTTAAAATTCGAGTCCATTCATCCAGATTCTTTTTGTTCGCAACACTTGCCCCATTTCTGGCAACAAAAATTTTGACAACAAAATTTGAGTCTCCAACTTTTTGTAAGAATTTAAGTTCATTAGTGCAATCTTCAATAGTCCACGGAATTCGTAAATCTGGTTTATCAGTACCATATAAACGCTCTGATTTTTGATGACGCATACGCTTGAATGGAGCTGAAGGCTTCAAATCATCCTGCAATAGACAATTATGAGACGAAGACTAATTAGGTGCACTTAAAACTACTTATAAATTTAATAATCACAAACAGACCAATTCCTTAGGCCATGATTCGACAATGATATTTTCTATTAATTTCATAACATTGTCTTGGTCAGTAAAAGATAATTCGAGATCAACTTGGGTAAATTCAGGTTGTCGATCTGACTTCGCTCCTTCATCACGATAACAGCGGGCAATCTTTAATCGTTCAATTTTTATGCCATGAAATTAAATAAAACTTCTCACCCGAATAATGAGAGGAAAAATTCTCATTGCCTTTCAAATTTTTGTACGTAGCCACTGTTTTGAGATGACTTAAAACAAATCACTGATGACTAAATATCATTTAGATATCAGCTTATCAAATACTTCCGAGTACTTTACGGATCAAATCATTTTGCCAGTAAATGACTGTCGATCTTCTCAAAAAAAAGTATAAAATATTGCAACATTTACCTGAAAATACCTGTCCACACCAGCACACATAAGCAACTGCTTTGCTTGTTGAGGACTTTGAGGTAGGGTATAGAATTTTCCTTGATTAGGTTTTGGTGCAGGAACAATAAATTCATGTGCACCACTAGGTGTTCGACGGAAAAGATTTGGCGTTTCAACCTATAATTCAAGCAGAAGACTACTCATAAATAAACAGACTATAAGTTACCGTTTTACCATCAAGCTAAAATACTATTTCTCTACTTCATAAAGGTAAAACCGATTAGTTACAGTTACAATAGCTAATAAATCCGATAAGATTATAAAAGTAAAGAAAATTCAAATCTATTATGAAGACATAAACAGCTACCTTAGAGGACTTTATTTTGCATGAAAACATTCAGAGGACAAAATGTGAAATTAAAACTTATTTAAATGAACACAGCATCAGTTTTTATTTATCGGATTTTGAAACAAATGAAATGAAACTAGTCTGAAAAACCATATTCAAAAATACCTCAATGAACTTCGCTTTTTCAGTCAGGTACTTGCGTATTCCGTAAACAACATCATTCCTCAGCCTTTAAAATAATTAGCAATTCATAAAGTGACTTATTATCAACATGTTACTGATGACTTTTTAAAGAAATATTTTAAAAACCTTAGTGCTCTTTGCATCCGCTTGGTCCTTAAGTCTAGATAACGATATCGAAGTCTTGTTTCTTCTGTTGATGTTACTTCATTCAACGGATAAACTGCTGGGAAAGTGTTAATTAGTTCTAACTGATCTATTAATACCTGAAAAACTTTCGACCTTTTTGGAATTCACATCATCAGATGCAATATGAAAAATATAAGGTGCTGATTTGCAGTCTGTTTATTTCGTTGTAATCCTCGATCAGAAACATAAAAATAAACTGTGCACTATAATTTTTGACTAATATGTTTGGGGGACTAAAATAAAACAGCAACAAATAATACCTGAGATCAAAAAATTCAAATCAACTATTGCCCGAAAACTTACTTCAATATCGCCTGTTCGCATTGCTGGATTTCGGAACTGTTCACCACGATCCATAACTACTCCTTTAATTTTTAAGACAGACTCGCAATTAATCATTTTCACTTTCTCTATCAAATCTCTCCGGCCGTCTGGAATTCTTGTTTGCACACTACCATAAGCATCTCGTAAAATGAGAAAACGATTTACACGATTAAACTGCAACCAACCATACAGAGTGACTTCTTGACCTGAAGATTTAAATCTAAATACGTAGATGTTTTAAGATTTTTATTTCAAAAACAGTAGTTCTTCTAGATGCTTGACAAAAAACTTAAATAAGCGCATAAAAAAATTGATCTAATAGCAGCCTCTAATCAACAAGAATGGTAGTGTGCAAAAAAAATCATGCTAAAATAATTTCGATAAGTGTTGATTATTAATCTGCAATGTCGCAATTTTTTCGAAATAATGATTAATGCACTAATTCTGTACTGCGCTTGAGACGTCAAAGACAAACTTTCATGTCCAATTCGTAGTTCTCCACATGTGTGCGTACGCAAGGTAAAATCATTCACTGAAAATCGTCGGAAACAAAGATGAATGCTATCTTGAAATATAGAATGAAGCTTTTGCCGTAACATCACTCGAAAGACTGAAAATTTTTCATTACCAGCTCATTGAGTCTCATACAAGAGTTGTCAACAAGTATAACTGATGGCTCTCGTAATTCATGCATTTCACAAATGAAAGAATAAATGCTCAGTAAGAAATTAATTTTGGATGATATAAAAACTAAGCTAGAAAAATACATGACATTTTGCTAGAACCCCAAGACTCCTTCACATATATATTTCGAAGGCTGAGAAAGCTCTATAAAATTCAAAGTAAGAGGAAAAATCGAAAAATTTATTGTCCAATTTGTCCAAAAATGAAAAGACTAATAACAATGTATCTCAAAGACATAAAATGTTGAAAAGCATATGAATTTCAATGATTTAAAAGAATGCATTAATTTCAGAATAAAAATTAAAGACAAGAAAGAACCTCGCAGTCACAATTTATTAAACCATTTAAAATACTAAACAAATGTGGTAGAGTGAAGAAGCGACCTCAGAAGACTAAATACTTCGAATAACTAACCTACTACTTGATGCAAATCCGTAGTATTGTATGATACAGTTTAATACATCTTCATAATTTAGAAAAACGATCCCGAAATTAAAAAATGTTATACTACAAAAAATAAATAGGAAATGGTGCAATAGGAAATAAAATCAGACACAAAATGAATAACAAATTGATAACAATGATGTGAAAGAAAAAACAAAATCTGGAAAGGATAGTTAAATAGTATCAACAAATTTCTTCATCAGATTTTGGTAGTATTTGTCCTGATCCCGTAAATTTCGAAAAGTACGAAACCGGAGTACTTAAAAGAGCACTGTAATCCATTTCCATTGTATTGCGAAAATAACCTTTATTCAGGCGTATTTCATCCACAGCATCCAACTGTTGTTCAACAACTACTTCCCGAGCATCTAGAAAGTTTGCACCGAGATTGAATAACTTTGAAACTGATGCAAAATTAAGTAGAAAAATTTCAAAATCTTAATAATTTCATACAATTTTTTTGAAATTTACCTGGCCAGTCTTTTCTGTAGACAGCTTTCAGTCCATCATTCGGTAAACAAACTAATCCAACAATAAAACGAGTGCCTCTAAGTGGATAAACATGTTTTGCAAATGCGACATTCAAAAAACGACGAAAAGCTACATTTTTCGTTTGGATATCAGTGGGCATGCTACAATCCTGAAATTGAATTTTTTACTTTTCACGAAATTAACTGAACTTGCAAGTATTTCATTCTTTGATGCCACACTTAAACTTTGCTTTATAACATGCATTTCACTACACAAAAATTCCCCTCATCAGAACTTGGCTTTTTGCAATTTTTGAAATATTTTTTGGTGAGAAACTGAAAATTATTCTAGTTAAATATGAAATAATCCTTACTAAGCAGTTATTGTTATATGTAGTAACAAAATCATACAACCATGGGTTTGTCAAGGATGAATGTTTTCGAAAATCAGTCCTGACAAGATGACGAAGGTCAAATTTTTTATTGGCATCTTCCTGGAATTTATATAAATTATCAAAAATATTCAACGAAAATAAAATTTATTGAAACAAGACAAACTATGTTATCTGAGTCTCTGGTACTCTTAACTGAAATAAGAAATAAAAAAATATAATGATGATGTTGAAATCTCAAAAAGAAGACTCTACCCTGATCCACTTTTACTATATTTGAAATTAAATTTGACTCATCCAGAGGTTACAATGCTAAAAACTACTGTACAAAAACTCTTACTTTGAACATATCAAATGATGCTACTTGTCAATAAAAAACAATTTAGCTGAATTTTGCCTGTTATTGCCAATATCTAATAGTCACAATTTCATGTGGTCGTAAATTGTCAATTAAGTGCTTCAGAGAAATAAGGATATACGTTCTCGTCATTCAGTAGAAATACTTGATATAATAAATAATGAATGAGACTCATAAAATTTTAGTCCGTGGGTAAAGATATCTCGATATAACTGAAAATCAACGTTGCTTCATGTTACTAACTATGGCAACTACCTGAAAAATAACAAGATCGTCTTTAAATCAAGCTTTTCAATTTTCAGTAAAAATTACTGTATGAGAGTTTTTCCCATGATAGATCAACGTATCATCAAAAATTCTCATCAGTGAGATAAGATCAATGTTTTTCTCGAAACGTGATATCATTTCCAAATCCCTATTCCGTTTTCTGCTGCAGCAGTAAACAATAGCAGGATCTAACGGATGAGCTTCTGTATTGAATATATACCCACCAGCTGCAAATACATTTTTGCTTTTATTTAATAAAAAATGGTATATCTAGAAGAAACCATATTTTCATAAGAGCTTCGATACAAGTAGTACTGATTATTTTTTACAGAAACATAAAAGCAATACAATGAAATAAGTAGAAAAATAAATTGAGATTAAAAAAACAATGCAATAAAAGTACAATATACCATCGATGATACATTGCCCATTAGGTGTTTCAATAATTCTTGCAACTGTTCCATTTGCATTTATGAAATTTTCAGGATCAAATAAGAGATAAAGATATTTTGTAGTTTCCGATAAGAAAAATGATTCCATTCTAAAAGTGAGAATTGCAATAACAAAAAAAGGTATATCTTTTATATACTTCGCTGTTGATAAAAATAGCAAACAGAAAATTTTTAATAAATGAACCTGTCTTCAACTGAATGATTTTCAACATTGGTAATTGTAGCGTAGCCGCACTTAGTCCGACAACTAAACTCAATAGCCTGCAATTAGTAAATAAAGTTTAATCAAATATTACAGAAACAGAATGATATTTTCAAGCCAGAAATTTATGATGATAAAGAAATATAGATACACATTGCTTTGCAATTTTTAAAAAGAAATCTGTGTACACAAGTAACCAAATTAACAATATCAAACTCAAAAATGATAAAAAACATAAAACTGTACTACGGCAGTTAAAAAATAAAACTGACATGAACAATTTCAGCAGCAATTTCCAGTAGCAAGGGATCTTTTGTAGCTCGATACAAATAATATAAGCTTTCTACAAATTCTGGTCTGAGAGGATAACCAGCACGCTTTGACACCTATGAGTTTGAGTAACTTCATAAAGAACATTATTCTGAACTGATGGATAAGAAACAAACAAGTAAAAAATTTGAAATTTTCATTCACTAATGCAAAAAAAAATACAATTTTGACACATTTAAAAGTAAGTTTTAAATTGAATAATTTTCTTGGCTAGCCAAAAGAACTACTATTCCTAACCAAAACAAAAAACAAGTAACAAAAATAGACAAACCACTTCTTGCTTAGGAAGATTGAAAAATTCTGGTAGAAAGCCATACTGCCGTACTATCTGAGCGTATTGATAGATAATTCTTTGCGCATCATCAACATCTCCAGTAAGTGCCTAGGTGAAAACATGATAATATATAACTAACATGAGTAATATGAGAAAAAATTTTAGTAAACTTACTAGCAGACCCGGCCAAAATGCTTCTAGTGATTGGAATATAGGCATTGACATTTGTCCTGTCGTCATTGAAACCCAAACAAACCAATCACCTTTACGAATATGCTTATTGATTGCCTTTACGTATGCTGAACAGCTTTTCTTAAACTGCGATGAGTATAATGTCAATTTGAACTTACAAAGTCTTCATCGAAACTCAATAAAAACGTAAGAAAAGTTTACATTCTTTGGAAATAATCCTGTTTAAAACTGTCAAAACAAATCAAATGTTTTCACCGCCTAAGCTGAATAAACCTTGAAATATTATTTATACCCTAAACATAAGGAACAATGGTTTCAGCACGGATAACTTGACTTACTCTTAAACTGCTTCATTAGTTCCGCACGCTGAAAGAAGATACCAGCTTTTGCGAGATATTCAAAATAAGAATCCACACCAGCACCAATTCCAGCATCTGTTACCGTCCAATCTCCAGTTTCCACATTGATATGATTACCAACAAGATTCAAAGGAGAACGTGATTTCCACAGCGAATCTAGAGCCTTCAGAGCCACCCGTTCATATAATGGATTACCCAAAAAATGACATTTCGTTCTTAAATCTTCTTATATAGACAATGCACAATTTTCGTGAGATATAAATCTATTTCTCTAATTCCTTTAGATTATATCTTCATAACAACAAATCGTTTCTAAACAGTTTATTGCAGAATACGATAAATCATGCCCGATTTACATTTATATAACAAATTTATGAATAAAAATTTAACCAGTAAGACGTGATATAGTTCCAAATTCCAGCAAGAGAGTTCCAATCCCAGCTGTGCATGTTACAGCAGTTTCTTTTTGATGAAGACCATACCTGAAAATTTTACTTACACTTTTCAGTGCAGATTACTAATAATACACAAACATCGAATAAAATCTTTAAACCATAACTATAAATTTCAAAGCTCCCGAGCTTGTTTAAAATTTTTAAAATTAGTCTAAACAATTTCCAATTATTAGATGCCTAATCAAGCCTGGAAAACACATTGATATTTGTCTAAATTTGTTACATTATATACTTAAAATTAACTTCAAATTGACTGTTCCATAAGGCATTCCAGTAAGCGATTTGAAAGCAGGCAATAACTTTTGAGCAAAACGTTCAGCCAATCGTAATAGAGGCCCTGAACAAGGCCAACCTGGTTCTAAAGCCATTCCTTAAAATAAAATGAATTATTATAATGGAACTCAAACTTAAACTGACGATGAAAATCATGCAATGGGAAAATTAAGCAAAACACAAAAAGGTGACCTTTAACCCGTCCAGAAAGCATATGACCACTTAACAATCCACCGATCACTCGTATATTTGTTTCGAATACTGATACATTTACATTTGTGTTGACCTAAGCAAGAGTTTTACAGACAAAAAGTAAAAACATAAAGTGAATAGAAGAATTTCGTTAAACAATTCAATTTCTAAATAAAATGTAAAAAATGTCTTGGTGGGTTTCACTACTTGAGATTCTCTGGTTTTATTATTTTTGTTGAATACTAAGAAAGCAAAACTTCCCAGACTTTAGGATAGCACTTGCGAGATAATGGCATATTTTTTTTTCACACACTTTAACTAATAAAAAATAATTATTAAAACAAAAGAAAATTAAATCACTTTAATCTAACGTAATTACTCAAATTAAATCAAACAGAAAGATGACTCAAAGACAAATTCACCTCAACAGTGTTTAAAATAATTTCAGCAGCACGTTTGAACTCCGTTTCATTACCCATTACGAGCAAAGTATCTAATGAGTCAATAAGTGTTAGACTGAAACTTCCCCATGTATCCATTCCTTAAATACAATCTCATTACTTGCATTTTCCACAAATAACTCAATTTTCAAAAGAAGGGACTATAGTAGAAGTCATACTGAACGACTAATTTCAAAAGTCTGCATAATTTAGGTGCATGACTGAAGTTTTTTTAAACCTGAGAACAAAATAAGCGAATTTCAGACATTTAATGTCATACTCGTATTTTTACGGCACAATCAGAGCCAATTCATATGTATTTTGGTCAGTCTGCCAAGCCATAATATTCAGAATTGATTTCAAAAAATCATACCAGAGCACGAGAGTGGCTTTAATTCATCCAAAGGATAAGCATGCAAGAGATAACTGTTGTAAGCGTGATAAAACATATTTTTCACTTTATCACTGAAATGAAATAGTTTACTTTTATCGGTAAACAAAAACGCTTTACTGATAACAGCTCGAAAGACGAATTGATTTATATCTTTGACATTTACTGATTATAACAGATATTATTATAAAAAACCAAATGGCTCTCCGGAAACTTTTTCAACGAAAAGTGAATGCTTAATAGTACACGTTTCTTCAAAGTAAATTTCTCAATCTGAATTAAAAAAGTTTTTAAATATAATTCATAGCTTTTTTTTGTCTACAAGAAAGGTGTCATGAATTTGATAGAAGAAAGTACAGGAAAAAAAGAACTTCAAAAAAATAGACATGTAATCAACACACAGAATCAATCCATCTTTCGAATTGTCATCAACACACAGAGAATGCATACTATTAAATATTTAATTTCATTCAATTTAAATACCAAAATGCAATTCTAAAGTACTGTATTTAAGTACTATCTTTAAAACGATTTCAAATTTATTTTGGCATTAACGCATATGCTAAAAAGTTCACATATTATTGAGACGGATAATTTTGCGAGTCAAATAATAAAGCAATTAATATTCTGCAAGATTTTTAATAAAAAATTTTTTTTTTTAATTTTTGCTAAATGTAGATTTTTAAAAAAATTGATAATTACTATGGAGAAGATAATTTAATGAGGACAATTTGAATTAATG